TCCAGCATATTCATGTACCACAATTTGTTTCAGCATTCTCCAATAAAAGTGGATTTTATTTCCACTCTTCCGTTACCATAAAAAGTGCTGATTTAACTATTCTGGTGTATATAGGGCCTCTGTTTTTGTCAATGACATTCCTGAAATCTATCTTCATAATTTCTTTATAAAACGTAGACAGGGCACTCAGTCCCTTGTGGTTTTCTCCTGAGCTTCTGTGTTAACTGTGGCAGTGATAGAAAGGTGGACAAAATATGCTAAGAATCATGGTTTTCTGACCATCTGCAAACACTAATCAGCTAATAATATTCTGAAAGGGAGAACCTTGCCCAGTGACCTACAAATGGTCATGTTACTCGTTGTTTGTCTAACTCTCTGTGACCCCTTGCACTGGGACCACACTGTCCATGGAGTTTTCTTGGCGAAGACTCCAGTGGATTAAGGAGAACAGGTTAAGTGACTTGCCCAAGCAGTAACTATAACTGGTAGTAAGTAGTACCTAACAGGCTGGATTTGAATTCAGCTCTTCCTTACTCCAAGCCCAGAGCTCTATCTGCTGAACCATCTACTGGAGTAACTGAGTAATATCAATTCTGACTTTTCTTACTATAAATGAAACCAGAAAACAAGAGGCAGTTTAAGCTAAATAGAAAGATGGCTCACAGGTTTTCTTTCGAGAGGCAGATAAAGAGAATCATTCTTATTGAGTGGCCAAGGGCAACAAGAAATAGTATCTCATGAGAAAGGTAATTTTACACTGCAGTACTCATGATAAGCATTTCCAAGAAAACCACTAGTATAAACAATTACAGCTCATGCCTCAAAATCTGGTGCAAAGGATGAGAAAATAGAAATTTTATGAAAAACTAGATAAGACTCTCTTCGTTAAATTAACACACACTTCAGTATTTGGTGACTTCAACACAAAGGTGGGCATATAGCAAAGAATAATGAAAACTCTTAGAAAAAGTGATTTAGGAATAAGAAACAAAAAGAGGGCAAAAAGGTTTGTAGACTATACAGAAGCGTCATACCTACACAAGTATATATGTTTATATACCTTACACTTACATATTTGAATATTTTTTTTTGTACTGAAAACTGACAGGTACTCAACAAGGTGGACACCAAATACTATCTTTAAAAAATGAAATGGGGGGGGGCAGCTAGGTGACACAGAGCACTGGCCCTGGATTCAGAAAGACCAGAGTTCAAATCTGGCCTCAGACACTTGACATTTATTAGCTGTGTGACCCTGGGCAAGTCACTTAACCCTGATCGCCTCACCAAAAAGCACAAAAAAAAAAAAGAAAAGAAAAAAGAAAAAAGATTATATTTTGGCAAGAAAAGACTGAGTCCTAATGAGCAAACAATTTCTGAATCAGATATCTCTGTATAGTAAGACTGTTGACTTGTTAGAGCCAAAACCAAAATCAACATCAAAGAAAAATAAAAACAAGTTGTGGTAGCAAGTGAAGTGACTCTCCCCTGATTTAAACTAGTTGACACCAAAAAGGGAAAAGAGATAAATGATTAGATATTGACTACACAAACCACTATCATTTCCTAAGGAAGTTTATTTAACCAGTGTAAACTGCCACAACAAAGAGACCTAAAGAGCTCAGAAACCACCTAAGAGAGTAAAAATTGATCTCCTTGTCAAGTGGGAAGATATAAAGGCCAGGGACAATACCAATATATATTAGAAAGCTCTTGCAAAAAGGATGGGGGATGGATCATGGCCAATATTTACTCATAAAATATAGAGTATTATAGAGAGAGAATGTTTCCTGAAAGCTTGGCAAGAGACCCAACAAAGAAAAGTCACTCCAAAACATTTAAGGATGGAAGGAGGAAGAGGACAACAGATAAAAAAGATGGAAAAGATCTGTATTATGTTTTTATAGCACACTTTTCACCATCTAGGGTGGCAGAGGCACCACATATGAATTCTAATAGCTGAGTTAATGTGCCTTTGTCCTAGACATCCCTCCTACCTGGAATGCACTCCCCTGCTCGGCTATGCTTTAGAAAATCCCTTTCTTTCTTGATTATACAATTTAAGCACCATCTTCTATATGAAACCTTTCCAGATCCCTCCAATTGTCCTCCTGATTGAAGAGAAGTAGCATACAAGTTCATATCTGAGAGACATGTGATTTGAAAAGGAAATTAGATTAGGGGAAGATTTACAGGAACATACAGACAAGAGTCTAACAGGATGAGAAAACATGAATGGGTTGTAATAGGTACTGGTGGAAGGAGTATCCATACTGATCAAATCACAGATCCATTCAAGAAACTTGGAAATTTAGCTAGAATATTAATATACTTAAAAAACAAACAAACAAAAAAAAAACATGAACCCCACAACTGGTAAAAATGCCATGACTCTGTATTAGCCCTCTTAAAATTATTCTCAGTTTTAAGATAAATGTTTTTGATTTCCTCAAAATTTTATCATCTACCCAGTGAAATTTAGTACTATGCTCAACTTATTGATAGCAAACATTTTTGAGGCTTCACTGCTTGTTAATCTATCTTTTCAAGCTAATTAAGGATATAAAATGGAAGTTAGAAGGGGATCTAATGTAATCTATTTAGTCTCACCTCAAAAGAGATGGTGATACAGTATACAAGTGAAAGTCAGAATCCTTTATGACTCTGACTATTCACACCCAAATGAATAATCTATATCAGAAAAGATATTTCTTAAATATTAAAATAAAGGAATCACTACAGCCTCCTGCCTCTAAGAGTTAATTATACTCCCTCATGCAAACAGCCCACCAGAATGTCTCATCATATTATAAATTTCTACTGAGATGTTCCTTCAGAGTACCAGAATTATCGTTTTCAAAATGGTCACATGAGCACTCTTCATGTCTCCAAATATTTGGCTGGTCAATTCACTTCCCTCCAACCAAAGTCTACAAATTAAACCTATACAACACAGCTGAGTAAGGAAATTACTTCATGCTAAGTGAAGTGAGCAGAACCAGAAGAACACTGTGCACAGTTAACAGTCACACTGTTTGATGACTACTTTAATAAACTTAGCTCTTCCCAGCAATGCAAGGATCTAAGACATCTCTAAAAGACTCAAGACGGAAAATGCTATCCACATCCAGAGAAAGAACTATGGAGTCTAAATGCAGATCGAAGCATGCTTTTTGGTCCTTTTTTCCCTTCTATTTTGTTTTGTTTCTTCTTTCTCACGGTTTCTTCTATTGGTTCTAATTCTTCTTTACAACAAGACTAATGTGAAAATATGTTTAATAGGAATGTATATGTAGAGCTTATATCAGACTGCACACCATCTTGGGGAGGGAAGAGGGAAAGGAAGGGGAGAAAATTTAAAACTCAAAAGATTATGGAAGTGAATGTTGAAAAGCAAAAATAAATTAATTAATTTAAAAAATTACTATCTCCCTAATACTTCTAGGACATAAGAAATACTTTGGGGGGAGGGGAGTTAAAATAGGAGCATCATGACTACAGTTACAGCCTACAGTTTATATGGGGGCCTTTTTTCATACTCCATAATCCTCTGTGGATAGAGCATGGGACTAGAGTTACAAAGATCTCAGTTCAAATAAAGTTTCAGATACTAATTAGCTGAGTGACCCTGGGCAAATCACTTAACCTCTGCCTGCATTAGTTTCCTCATCTGGAAAATGAGGATAATAGCACCTACTTCTCAGGGTTATTGTGAAGCTCAAATGAAACAGTATTTGTAAGACATCTTAGAAACCTTAAAGGGTTATATAAATGCCAGCTATTAACTATTATTATTGTTATTATAAAAGGTCAGAGAAAAAAACAAGATGATTGCCTTTGAACCTTGAAAGCAATATTTTTAGGAAAAAAGTCAAAAGAAAACAAGTGATACTTCATATAATTCTTAATAAACTCATGAATTTCAAATCATAGAATAGTAAAGCTAAAAAGTTTCTCATAGATTACATGGTTCAATTTGCTCACTTTACAAAGTAGAAAACCGAGACTTATAAAGATTCTGTGATTTTCCAAGGGCACAAGTCTAGTCAGTGTCATAGTCTAATTTGAAATGGAAGCTTGGTCAAATGAACTGGCCACAGTTTGGTTTTTAAAATTTTTTAAATTGTAAAAAAATATTTTTAATTGATGCTTTACACTTTTTTACACTGTTGTCATTTTCTAATCCAACACTCTTGCCATTATGGAGTGCTAAAAATAGAAAGAGGTTTAAGAAGCTTTTGGAAATTGCACTGATGACAGGCCCATAACAGATTATTAGAGAAAACCTAGGGATATTTTAAAGTATATCCTTAATTTTTGGAGTAGTTTTTAAAAAGTTAAACAAGTTTGACATAAATGTATAAAAATATAAAGACTAAAATCCCTCCAATATTCTTAATATAATACTAGGTAACAGGAAGGTAGTAAAATGAAATCAACTGACTCAATCATTTTCTTAGCATGACTTGCAGCTCACATCACATAACTATCTGGAAGGCCAGACTAAACTAAAATTCACTTAAACCAGTTAAAGGTCAACCACTTCTATAATAATACTGTATTACTTCAATGAAGTTTTTTCAATTCATCTCAATGCATTAGCTTTCCTTGGTAGGCAAAAAACAGTTGTTTGCCTATTTTTTGTGGTAGGTGCCTTGTCAGTTGAAACTTTTGGGAACAAGTGGCCTTTTTCTCTCGTGTCCCTCTTCTCTATATTTCTTCAGCTTCCATAGGAGACCTCATAATTGAATTTATACCACTGTGCCAAAACTCTTTTAGTCATTAATGCCTTGCCTCCCAATAGTCTCAAAAACAGCCTCTATCGATGCTCAATGTGTGATTTCTTTGCTAATACCACTCAACAGAAATGCAGCACATTACACTAACAGCAACTTTCTTTTGTGCTTTTAGAGAACGACAACTTAACGCATCACAGCTCTCACAATAAGTTGTGCGCTTGGCAAAGCCCGCCATCTTCAGTAAGACAAGAGAACACATACCTGGTTATTACTGTTGACCGCTGAGGCATTGACTTGAATTGCACTTGACAGAGAATCCAGGAAGGCTTGGTCAGCTACTGAATTTCCACAAGAAAACTGATCTTTCCCACCATTAGTCAAAATCTGAAGAGTAAAAGAACTCTTATTATTTTCAGTCAATGCATAGTTCGCTTGAGGTTAAGATTATTGTAGGCCAGTAGAGTCAACCACCAGGGGGAAAATGGAGCTTGAGATCCTATTTACTAGACTGTATGTAAGGTCCTTTGGGGGCTTGGGCTGGGTTTTACCTCTCTTTGTATCTCCCTCAGCACCTATCAGGGTGTTTGGCATCTAACTGAATGAATCCTAAGTTACTTATTGAAAACATTAAGGTGGATACCCAAGTGATTTTGCTAAAACTAGCAAGTTTGGTAATTGTGATGAACCTCAATGCCAGCCACCCCTCAGATTTCCCTCAATCTTAAGGAATTTTTAGGCCTCAGATGAAAAGCAGAGACCATTCTCATAAACTTTAGTAGTTGATTTTCTACCTCTGGGCAGACATGAATGAGATATTATAACATGACCCCTTATACTTAGTGTGTTAGAGATCTGGAAGAGTGTCCCTAAGAAAGGTTTTTCTATTAAAAGGGATCCCAGGAGATGATCCATATCATCTTCTTTCCTCCCGAAAGACATCATCTCCTTTCTAGAGTGAGTATTCTCTCTTCCCTTACCCACTAGATTAAAAAACAGAAGCAAATAAACACCTCTGCATCTCAGCACAGGACCTTAGTTCCTCCACCTTCCGCTGAACTTGACTGATCAAAGGATTTTACATTCATTTTATACATGATATAGAACAACCAGCCAGCAGAGGGAGCCAGCTGGTTGGCTAAGAAATGGTGTTTTGTTTTGGGTTTTTTTTTTTTTTTTTGGTTGTTATTGGTTGGTTAGTTTTTAACTGAATGGTGTTTAACCATGGATGGTCAATTCAAGGAACTTAATGCTGTAATGGACATCAAAGATAATGGGCAGCAGCTCACAGTTTCAATGAGCAGCTAACTTTTTTTTTTTAAACAAGACAGAGAAAATGAATTGGGAAATTCTGATTGTGGTATAGTCAACACTGGATTTGGAGGCAAAAGATAGGGGCTCAAAGATTAGCTCTTTTTGAGTGACTCTTGGCAACACATGTGGCTTCTCTAGATCCCAGTTTCCTCTTCTGTACAACGAAAGGGTAGTCTCTGGGGTCTTTAACTCCTCTGAACCTAAGACTGGGATTTGTGCTTAGGCCCTGTCACTTACTAGGAGGGAGGAAGTGGACAAGTCATTTAATCTCAGTTTTTTTATCTGGAAAATAGGGATAATATTTGCATTACCTACCTCACCGGATTATTGTGGGGGAAAGTACTTTGTAACTGTCAAGTGTTACATAAAGGTAAGGAATTATAGTGTAATGCTACTAACAAAAAATAACAATTATAATAGAGATAAATGAGCTATTATCTTGTTTACTTCAACATACAATGTATTATTCACTAAAATAAAAAATAAGATGGCTTCCAATTTTTCCAGGGCACCTCCTGAACAATACCATTTATGTCATTTTAACCACTACTAATCACACCAAGGAAGGGAATACATGTGGGAGGAATAATTGTTACTCTCTTTTATGTTCTGTCCCTCAAACCTGTTCATCCAAAATAAGTTACAGAAGGAATCAGTTGTAACTGTTGTAATTAAATGAAAATTCTTACTTCAACGTAGTCTGTGGGAACAAGCCCCCGTTCTCCTTTGTTATTTTTTCCTTCGAGCCATCCTCCACCTACATCCTAAAAACATGCAAAAAGAAATTTGGTATATTTGGGAAACTTGTGTGAAGAATCACAACAAAACAAAAACAACTTAAACACTAAGTATATCATCTCTACAAAATCCATCATTCATAAGTTACACCCCTCCCCACGTCACCCAGACATCAAAAAACTCGAGACCTTATCTACAGGAAAAAAAAAGTTAAACCCAGACTACAATTAATGAAATATTGATGAGGAATTGGTGCTAGTGGTAAATAATGCCCATATTAGTCTATGAAAAGTGTGCTCTATTTTGATGACCACATTTTCTTCATTCATCATTTAAACCATGACTCAATTCTAGAAAATTATTAACTTCATGAGATGTAGTGGGTATAATGGAAAAAGCACTAAGATCCAAGTCCAGAAAAACTGGGTTTGAGTCTGAGCTATGCCACTTACTAGCTATGTGTTCTTGGGTATCTCTTTTTCCTTATCTGGTAAACAAGGCTGCCCCCTTGCATACCTGTAAGGTAATGTGTGGTCAGGTCACCTGGGCTACGAAAATTAATTTTTCTCTTCCTTTCTCTCTACTGCTCTATAGTGTCTCTTTTGACTAAATAGGATCCAACATAAAATTAAAATAAACTGACATTCTCTATTCTAATTTTCCCCTAAACAATACTTTAAGAGTTTCCTTGAATGCTATCTACCTCCAGGGAGAGAACTGATGACCTTGAGTGCAGATTGAAGCCTACTTTTTTTTTTTTACTTTATTTTTCTTGTGGTTTTTGTGTGTGTGTCTTCTTTGACAACATGACTAATATGGAAATATGTTTTGCATGACTTCACGTGTATAATTGATATCACATTGTTTGTCTTCTCAAGGGTAGGGGAGTGGTGGGAGGGAGAGAATTTGGAACTCATTTATTTTAAAAAATAAATGTTAAAAATTGTTTTACATGTAATTAGGAAACATTTAATAAAAATTTTAAAAAGCTCTTAATTAAATATCCACATTAGTCTATCCAAAGCTAGTTGAATTTGGATAACCACATTTTCTCTACAAGTCATCTGTCAATCCTAGAATACAAATGGCTAACCCCATGGCATCAATCGCTACTTCGTAATACCCATAAATTTAAATCCAAGTTTTCACATCCTGAGAGGGAGGTGCTGAATTAAATAAGCAGAATGAGAAAAACATTTTTTGGAACTGGTCAAAACAAAGATTTATTTTGCTTGACTATGTATAATGGTTTCAAGAGTTTTCTTTCTATCTTTTCTTTTCTTTTTTTTTTTCTCTAGGCAAAGGGAAGGAAAAAATACTGGAAAATAGAAAAAAAATTAATTTTAAAAAAATCAACAATTTGGTTTAAATTTGAGTATACAGCCTTAGGCATTTTCTTAAAAACAAAATGAATTTGCTTTACTTTTAAGTGCCAAGTACATGACCCCATGCTAAAGGATATTTAGTAGATGCCTGATGATGTTCAGTAAATGAACAACCATCAGTTTTTGCTCCAATAATCCCACTTGGAAGCCTAAAAATTTGGTTTAACAAATAACCAAGCAATTTCCAAGGGTATACCATGATTTTTCCTTGCAGACTTTTCAAGGGCCTCTGACACTCCCATCCCTTTCCTTTTTGAAATGCTCTCTTCCTGTGGTTTCCTACATCTTGGCCCTTCTTCTACTTCCTTGGCTCCTAACCATCCTTAAAAGCAACTCATGTGCCTCCTTCTCCAGGAAGTCTTTCCGGATTCCCTTTCCCTTTTCAGACCTCACATAGATAGTACTTTGTTTTCTAACTCAAATGCACTGAGGTAACATTCTTTATTACTACCATCTGTCTCTGCAATCTATGCCTAGTAAATTCTGAGAAAATAGGGGCCAAGTCTAATCTAAACTTTGTATCTTCTTTTGTGATTACCAACTAGTCAATTCACATTTCTTAACAGCCACAGTTGTGGTGAGTTGTCCTTTGTTCTGGAAGAAGACCATGACATCAGGGAGATGATGACATGACTGTGCTTGCGTGCAGAAAACCTACACTTCACCAATGTTTGTTGGTTCGATTGCTCCTTTTACAAAGAATCTCAGATCGGGAAGTCCAACTCACACCTCATTCTTTGTTCTTGTAAGTGAAGTCTTCTCAACCCCTCTCCCTTTTGGGGGAGATCGAGGAAGATAGGATTAGTAATGAGTGGAGAAAAATTCTTCGAGCTCCTTTACTTTCTCTTCTCTGAGGGAGGTATGTGTACTGTTAACCAGAAAACCAATTCCTTGGCTTGGCAGGAAAGAGGTGTTCTCTGCAGAAGGTCACGGAGGCAGCCAGCACCTTCATCCCTGACCTTCGTTGCTAGCTGCTGCTATGGCCAACGCCGATGGAGCGCTGATCTGGAGCTGAAGTGCCCCTCTCCTCACCTTGTTGTCACCCTGACAAGCTCTTTGGCCTTCCAATAATTTACTGTCTAGCCTTCTTCAACACTACTTTTGTTGTTGTCACTGAGTCACTTCAGTCATGTTGTGACTCTCTGTGACCCCTTGTGGGGTTTTCTTGGCAAAGATACTGGAGTGGTTTGCATTTCCTCCTTCAGCTCCTTTTATAGATGAGAAAACTGAGACAAACAGGCTAAGTGACTTGCCCAGAGTCACACAGCTAGTAAGTGTCCGAGGTCATATTTGAACTCAGGTCTTCCTGATTCTAGGCCCTGTACTCTATCCACTGTGCCAACTACCGGCCCTAATCACTAAAAACCCTCTAAATCTCCTTCACGATTCTTTCTCCTTCAATTCCAGTCTTTCCTTCTCTCTTCTGTTTTCACACTCTTCCAATTCCCTAAATGTGGGTGTTCCCTCAAACTCTGCTCTCAGTCATCTTTTCTATGCTTTCTCACAGTGATCTTGTCCACTCCAATGGTTTTAACTATGCAGAGGCCTCCCACATTTATGTCTGCCATACAGACACCTCTAACTCAACACATACAAAACTGGGCTCGATCCACTCTCAATTTCACTCCCCTCTCCCATTCCTCCTATCAGCTCTCCCTTCTGAATTCTTGCTCCTGCTAAAGATCTCACTAAGCTCCAAACCTAAATCACCTTAACACATCCTTCTCCCTCCACATCCAATCAGGAGACAAGTCCTGCCAATCCACCTCCAGGTCAATGCCTCTAAGATTCTTTCCCATTTCTTTCCAGTCCACTGTCACCACCTTAAGTTCACTACATTGGACATTAAGATTTTATTGTTCATTTCAAAGTCAGAGCATCACACAGAGGAATGAATATCATGGAGTCAAAAGACTCTGGATTAAAATGCTGGATTTGATTTAGACAACTCATTTAACCCTATGGAAGCTAGGTGGCACAGTGGATAAAGCACTGGGCTTGGAATCAGGAACCCTCATCTTCATGAGTTCAAATTTGGTCTCAGACTCTTACTAGCTATGTGACCCTGGGCAGTCACTTAACCCTGTTTGCCTCAGTTCCTCATCCGTAAAATGAGCTGGAGAAGGACATGGCAAATCACTCTAGTATCTTTACCAAGAAAACCCCCCCCAAAAGGGGTCAGAGAGTCAGATATGACTTAAGTAACTGAACAGCAACAACTTTTTTTGTTCCCTATAAAAGAGGCAGACCTTCATCGTCTCTGTTGGCTCTTAATCTATGATCCTTTGCTGAAAATAAGCTGGCAATTTATTCCGAAAAATTATGAGCAATACATTTCACAAAATAGGTATTTAGTACTCTCTATATAATCAACATGGGCAAGAACTACATCTACTACTTTTGTTTCACCCAAAGCACTTAATTGTACTGGGAACATAGTGGTCACCTAATGAATATATGATTGCTGTAACATGACAAAAATGTATGCAGGATATATATTTATTTTGCCATTTCTGATCATGATGTGGTGGTGTGACTCAGAGCATAACAGGAGGTATGGACTGAGCAGGGCAACTACCCAGAAAGAGCATATTTTTTTATAAGAGAGCCAAAAATAGTCAGAATGTGGCAGACCTAAAATGAGTAAGCTTTTATGTCAGAGTTTGGCTAGTTTTTCCACAGGGGCAAAACCAAGATCTCTCTGATTCCATTTTCCCTATAGACAAATTGCAGTTTACTGATTCTTTGTCATCAATATAGATCTAAAGATAAAAAATGAATGAAATGCCAGTCATCAGTAAGATATATTTTCTTTTACCTGCTACTGCCATTTCTAAGTGAGGTCCATTTTATAATGGCACTGAGTAATTACCTTAGGATAATAAGCCAAGAAATTTATAAGCATCATTTTTTATCATAAAAACATGACACTATGTTGCGGCGGCAGGGGAAAAAAATCACGGAAAATCATGAATTCAGTGGTAGTCTCAGTTATCTTTAGCAGAGTTACAATCCTGCCTTAAGATTTAGGGAAATAACATTTTACTTTTGGTCCATTTACAATTACTTCAGAGCAGAGAGCAAAAAAATCTTTTGTGGTCTTGAATAATCAATTCTGTTCTACAATGAATCCTACGAAAAGAGCTACAGCTCTATGACTTCAACTTGATATTTTTCTTACCGGATTTGTAATTGTAATGATCTCCCCTTCAATAACCGTCAATTCATTATTTCCGGGTTCAGCATCAAAATTATACATAACTCGAGCCTGTTAAAATGAGAGTGGGGGAGAAAGGAGAGAAAGGAAAGAAGAAAGGACATGTTAGTTTTACTTTGAAATATGCCACAGTACATTCTATAAATTGATCAATGTGACCAATGACTTAGGTGTCTCATTGGCTTGATTCCAAGATGCAGTGGTAAAAATGGAAATTTTTACTTCAGAAATGGAAAATTTTACTGACTTGGAGGGAGCACCTTCATTCATGATGTTTCCCATACCTAGAATACCACTATCCTTCACCACTGAATTCCTACCCATTCTTTAAAAACCAACATAGATGTTACATCTTCTAGGAAGCCTTCCCTGGTCTCTCCTCAAGGACCTCATGTAGCAGCTGCTCCCTTGTACAATTCTGGTAGACTTAAAAAAAAATTTTTTTTAAATTAAAAAACAAACAAACTTTTTAATGTGCCACCTTCCTGCAATAGAATGTAAGCTAGTTGAGAGAAGACACTGTCTTGCTTAGTGTCTGGCATACAGAAAGAGCTTAATGCTTTAACTATCTTTCTTCCTTTCTCTATCCTCCTGGTTTTGCTTCCTTCAATTTGCATCAGTTCAAATTAGCCTTCCAATGCTTCACTTGAATTTCATTCACCTGATGCACATTTAAGAATTATTTTACTGATTATTTGTGTGTCATTATTGCCTAGTTGGACAGTAAGAGGTCAAACTTCTTATCTTTTCCTAGTGATAGTGAGACAAGAACGAGAAATCAAAAGGCAAACATATCCTAATTTGCAGATGACATGATGGCTTACTTAGAAAGTCAAATAATAAATAACCTAAGAAACTATTTGAAATGATTAATGTCTTTAGTAAAATAGCAGGATACAAAATAAATGAACAAAAACTCTGCATTTCTATATAGCAGTAGCAAAAACCAGGATGAAATTACAGAAAGGGAAATGCCATTCAAAATAATGGCAAAATGCATAAAATACTTGAGAATCAACCTATTAAAATATATTCAAGACTTATTTAAATAAAATTGTAAAACATTTCCTAGAAATAAAGGAAGATATAATGGGAGGTACATTTAGTGATCATATCTGGTCTGCGGGATAATAAAATAATACTAGCTAAATTAATTGATAAATTTTGTGCTACACAAGCTACCATGGAGTATAGTTATTTTCTACAGCTGGACAAACATACAAGAAGTTTAGAATCTCAAGGGAAATAATGGGGAAAAGTTGAAAGGGAACATAGCACTTCTAGATCTCAACAATATAAACCAATAATAATCATTAATAAATAAAATTATAATAATCATCAAAATTTTTGTTATTGATTTTAACAATAGAAAAATAAGACAGTGGAACAGAGTATATAATGATCAAAAACTGAGATTACTAGTCCAGTTTTTGATAAAACCAAAAATAAGAATGTCCAAGAAAATAAAAAAGCAGTTTGGCAGAAAATAGATGTAGATCAACATCTAAACTAAATTAATCAACAGGAACTTATTAAAGCACCTTCTTTATGCCAGGGGCACTTCTGAGATATATAAAGACAAAAATTAACCTATCTGCTCCCTCATGGAGTTTGCATTCTATCAGGTCAGACAACATGAACATAAATATAGATGTGTAAAATAAACACAAGATAGATTTGGCAGGAGAGGACACAAGAAGGGCTTCCAGTACAAAGTGTTGCTTGAGCAGAATTTGAAAGGAAAGACAGGTATTCTAAAAGGTGAAAGTAAGCTAAGAAGTGCATTCCCATTCCACAGGCAGTCAGAACAGAAGCAAAAAGATGGGAGCTAGAGTAGCAAGAAAGCTAGTGTGGCTGGGTCAAAAGATGTGGGATGGCAAATGAAGTTGGAAAGGCAGGTTGGGACCAAGCTCTGGACAGTCTTAAAAACTAAACAGAGGAGTTTATATTAAGGATCCTAGAGGTAATAGAGAATCTACTGAGTAAGGAAATGACTTTTAGGAAAAGCCACTTTGGTAGATATATGGAAAATGATTTGGAAAACAGGTCTGAGGCATGAAGACACTCAACTGCCAGGCAAGAGATACTAAGAAAGGGATAAATAACCTAAATATAAAAGATTACACCATGAAAAATTCTCTTTATAATTAGGGGTAGGGGAGAATAAATTTTTTAAGATATAATTTTATTTTTCTCTGATGTTACATGCAACATTCCTACTCTCAGTCCCCTAATCTTTGCAACAAAGGAAGGAAAATACATTTTTTCCAATCCAGTTTGCCATGTCCTAGCACAAATCAATGAGTCCATAGAGTTCATCTCTAAGACGCAATCCTTTTTGTTACCTCCTTTTGTACCGAAAGTCCCACATAGATTTTTTTTATTTCCTTGAATAGCTGGCACTTTAGTTAGGATGTAACCATTTTTCTTGGTATAATGGATAGAATGCTTGGGCTTGTAGTCATTATGACTGAGGTTCAAATTATACCTTTTAGATAGAACTGTGATCATCGCTACCACCTGCCACTCCAGACTGCAACCTAATCCTTTTCTATTATTTCTTTGTCTACTTAGGAAGTTTCTGACAAAGAAGTATGCCACTGGAAAACGCCCCCTTACTTAAGAGAAGAATTATTAATTGTCCAATTAAGTTGGATACTGTGGATCTAAACCACTAATGTGGGGCTTTAATTAAATGTGTGTGTGTGTGTGTGTGTGTGTGTACTGGGGAAGCTTTTAATTTTTTCCATTTCTTTTTATAAATATATGTGGCACATCTCATTCTCATTGTCCCCTCCCTATAGAACAATGAAAAACGAAACTCAAACTTTAATTCCCACATTGGCCATGTCCAATTACACATACTGCCTTCTAGGATTTTATGTGCATGTCATCTCTGGGAAGAAGTGGGTGATGTGATTTATCTTCAGTCTTCCGGACTCCTAGTTTATCATCACATTAATCAGATCTCAAGTCTTTCAAAGTTATTTTTCTCTATGTTGTTGTCACTGTGGAAATTGTTTTTCTAGTTCTGCCCAATTCACTCTGTACTATACCACAACATCTTCAGTTTCCTTCAAGACTATCATATTGGCACCATAATGTTCCATTACATTCATATACTACAATTTGTTTATCCATTCTGCAGCAGGTAGATGTCTCCTCTCCCCCTTAGTTTCCAGTATGGGGTTACTATGAAAAGAGTTGTTATAAACCTATGTATTAAATATAATAGGTTCTTTTTCTCTTTCTTTGATTTCTTTGAGGTATGGAGCCAGAACTGCTGGTTGGGTTATAGGTTTAGAATCATCCCAACCTAAGGGGAACTCAGAGTACTCAATGCAAATTCCTCAAGGAAGCAGAGAGCCCTTTTTTTCATGCTTACTCACGCTCAAATGTTCCTAAAAGGTCTAATTCAGGGACTAATATTTAAGTGTTATTTCAGGAGCTTCTTTTAAATTTTTTCTTTAATAAACAGGAGCTTCTTTCTACCAGCACTCTCTAAATTCTACTTGTCTGCTGATAATCTAAAATTTATAAAACAAACCACAGTCAATAAATATTTATTAAAGGCAAACTATGTATGTGCCAGGGACAGTGCTACAGCTGCTAGTACAAACAAGAAAAAAAATAGTTCCTGCTCTCAAGTAATTTGCAGTCAAATGTTCATTCATGTCCAACTCTTTGTGACTTCTTATGGGGTTTTCTTGGCAAAGGTACTGGAGTGGTTTGCCATTTCCTTCTCCAGCTCATTTTACAGATGAAGAAACTAAGGGAAACAGGATTAAGTGACTTACCCAGGGCCACACAGCTAGTTAAGTGTCTAAGGCTGGATTTAAACTCAGGTGTTCCTGACTCCAGGCCCAGCATTCTATTCACTGTGCCACTTAGCTGCCCATGAAAGTCAAATACGGGGTAAGAAAACACACAAATGAAAGCTGAAAAGGTGGCAAACCTCCAAAGCCATCTATCTAGTTTGAGAAGAGTTTATTTCTCTGCCCTCCAATAAGTGGGAAGTGGCAACCCACGGGTGCTGAGTATCAAAGCTCAGTCAATCACATGATAAGATTTCAGGTGATGATTTTATCTTAGGGAAGGGATAACAAGAACAAAAAATAGAAAAAATCTTTTGCATTCGACAATTTGAAATTGCCTTCTGTTAGCTGAAACCTGGCTTTTTCAGGAGGCATTTTAAAGCTGTCCCTCCCACACCCTCTAAGTCCCAGGCAGAATAGGAGAAGGGCTCAAGCATGATCCTCTCTAGTCTTGAAGTCTCTGGGACTTAGTTTCGAAGGGGTTGTACTAAGGTAAATCGCTTCTGAGGTCACTTCCAGCTCAAAATCTGTGATCTACGTTCCTCTGATTCTAGAATTCAAAGGAGTGGCAACTTCACTAAGGTAGATGTTTACTCCCTCCACCGGCAAAGATTACAACCCTCCTTCACCTAGGCTTGAAGAACCTTTCTGTCTTAGAAAGAGAAGCTGCCAGAGCTTGGGTATGAATGGAGGAGGCTGAAAGGAACCACAGTCACTTTCATGGCACAATCAGACATTAGAGGTCAACTTCAGTAGAGGTCACGTTAAGGGGATACGGGCCCAAGCCAACACCTTTGCCCCTTACCCCAAAAAGAACTTGGGTCCCATTTGTCTATGGATTCTCCTTGAATTCTACTTGATTAAAGAAGTCTCTAGCTTTTGCCTGAGGCCATAATCCTACCAACTGGCCTTTTCTTACAGCCTATGCCCAATCTCCCAGTTCTTTGTTATCCTTCATTTAGCCCAGCCCTCTATTATCTGTTACCTGGGGATGGCCCCAGCCACTTCCCACCCTTGATCCTATCTAGAACTCACTCTACCTCCTAGTCACTCTCAACAAGATCCTCCCTAAACCCCTCCTCCAGTCACCCCAGCTTACTGGCCACTCCCATCAAGATACCCCTTCTCCCAGACCCCTCCTCTAGTCACCCCAAACTAGTTAGCCACTCCTAGATCCCTCCCACAGTCTTTCTGTATATAAGGTCCATCTGGCCTCTATTAAGGTGCGGAGATTCT